AAGACACGAACTTTTCTTGCACAGAATATTGTTGCATAAATGGACAGTTCAGAGAAACGAATCGCAACATGAGGATGTTCTTAACGTAAACTTCTAAAGACATTTCTTCTCTAGCAGAACGTTGCCCAAAGTTTGGTTCTTTCCTGGTTCTCATTCTGTTCTTCTTGAGACAGTTTTGTTCGAATTTTGTTCTTTACGGAATCGTTCCCGAACCTTTTGTTCTCATTTTGTTCGCATTCAAACTGCTTTCAATACTTTTTTCCTGTTTAGTTCTCTTGTGGGAACATACTTGCCATTAATTTTTGTTGTTATGCAGAATTAAACGAAAACCAGAACGCGTTCTCAGTCACTGTTTTTTTTAGAAAGGTCGATTCGAATACGACACAGAAGTCGTCCGTTCGGAAGTCCGAAAATAGCCCAGAAAGAGTAGAGAGAGCAAACTCGTTCCACTTTTGGATCGTATATGTTTCATTTTTTTGCGCCCGAACAAACCAGAGTAATTTTTAATTAATATGTTTTCGTTATGTTAATAAATATACCTTACTATAAGCACCTACCATAGACATTCATTCAGCTATTATCTCGAATTAACAAATTGAAAACGCTGCCCGAGTTCTGATATTTACCGAAAACGTTGTTCAACGTTTACAGTTATCAGGTAACATAACTGTTATTCAGCAGAAATGCATACATATGTTTCCCATCGCCAATAAGAGTTATAACCCCAGGCTTACGTTGCTTGATTACAGTTATTGCCCAACGTGTATTTGTTTACGTTGTCTGATAAAACATGTAGGATGAGAATAAACAGATAAACAAAAAAAAAACGGAGATGGAGAAGAAGATAAAGATGATGCAAATAAAAGAGGAGGAGTAAAATAACTGTTATCAAGCAAGGTAAAAAGTAAACCTTGGGTTATGTTACGAATTGATGCAAGCCTGCGCCTATCAGTGAAATACTAACACGCCAACACTAATGCAATTTACGTTGTCATTTACTATTCGCTCTACTTTCCCTCCTTCTTCTTTTTATCATCAACGGGATCGAATGGTGGCTCAAAAAGTAAGCTTTTTTCCAATTACTCAACAGGTTATAACTCTTATCGGCGAAATAAAACAAATATTTCTTATGTAATAACTGTTATGGAACAATGTTTATCCGATGAAGCTTATAAATGTTATGTCCCTGGTGCAAATAATAATAATAATAGATTGGCGCTTACACATATGTTAGTGTTTGGCCGAGCCTCTCCTCCGACTTGTGGCGTGCGCCTTGATGTTGTCACACAAAGCGGAGGGACCAACAGTTTTACGCCGACTCCGGACGGCGATTGTATTTTTATGAGAAGCTGTTTTTCATGGTAGAAATACACATTTGGAGGTTTGTCATTGCCTACCGAGGGACGACCGCTGTTAAGAAAAAACCCTTTTTTTCTATATATTTGCGATGTTGCTTTCACTAGGGTTTGAACCCAGGTGCTGCGGAGTGGAAGCGCGCACTGCTTACCACTATACCACAGCGGCCTGGTGCAAATACATACATATGTATTTAAATTATTTGAGGGGATAGTTTGGATACATTTTTCAATCCATTACGTACACTTTATGACTTAAGACCCTACCTAACGGCTTAATCGATTGGTAAATGGAATAAACTTTTTTTTTTTTTTTAATATGAGCAGCAAATAATGTTACTCATGTACGTACATACGTGATGAGCGCGCTTTATCAATTTAATTGGAAAAGAATAACAATGCTTGAAACAAACTTTTTTCAATCGCAAGTTTTTTGTACACATGACAAAATCCTAAAGAATTCGATAATATACATAATGCAACACTGGATTGTGTGGCTGAGAGAGCATCACTGCTGATTCTAGTGCAAGGAGGAAGCTCTATTTTAAATTATTAATAAACACAACGGCAAGCATCCGAACTCGTTCACCTAGCTTCCGTGATATTTTCATTAAGTCTCCGCTCCAGTTCATTGGTTCAAATCGACACAAAATCATGTTGCAAACTTCATTTTCAAGCACGATTGGACAACTGGTGTTCAAACTTCAATCGGTCGAACTTTAAATTATAGTTTATTCCGGATGATACTCGTCATACATGTACCAAAATATTCGCTAATACCATGTAGATGCGCGCTAAAAATTCAAAATGCAAAGTCGATTTATTTGGAAATGTGAAATGTGTAGCAACTTTCTTAAAACGAAAATATTAGCCTATGATTATATAACTTAGGTGTAAATTGGATGAGGAGTGCAACCAGGTTAATTGCACAATGAAAGCGAACAAAATGCGAAACTGCATAACTTTTTTAAACTTTCAAAATAATTAATTTCTAATAATCACAAAATGCAATGAGCCGAGCTAACTGGCGAACCAAAACAAAAACAAATCAACGCAAACACTTCACATGCTCCAATTAATTATGAAATTTATATAATTGACCGGTGAGGCAAAAAATCGCATGGCATATTTACGGCAAGCGCAGTCAAAGCAAGAGCTTGCCAACGAGAGCGAGAGAGAGTTGAGTTCTCATGAAATGAGATTGCGAAAAACAACGTAAATCAAGAAAGGAAATTTTTTAGAACGAGTATGTAGTTTCTCTTGCGCGATTCGAGTGCTTAGCTTTCGATTATAAAAGCTTGGAAATAGGCGCTTTGCAATTTTGAAATTTTAATTTTTCGAATTAGTTAGCTGTCATAACTACTATATTTACATGCATAAGAAGAGAATGTCTTATGTTTGGACTTACAGTTCGACTGAAAGCAAGTCATAAGTGCAAGATCACTCATCTTCAAAGGCAGCGAGTATGCGTTATTGGCAATTAAACAACACTCGTACATAAGTGTTGCCGCATAAAGAGTATTTTTTTTTTTACAAAAATGCCTACAGAAAATCTATCAAAATTCTACCAAGGGTTCAAAATCTCTTCAACAGGGGCGATTTTCAAAGGAAATTCACAATTTTTTTGAAATCCTACCTAAAGAAAGGCAGGGTTCAAAAATGCTTTCCATGCGTCCGAAAAAACCCTTGGAGAAGGTTGCGATCGATGGCGATGAAAATGGATCACATGCGCTTAAAAAAATTCTGGTCCCTGAAAGAGTGGGATAATCTAACTGTCGAAGATTATCCGGTAGAGCTTCAAGTACTTTTGAATACATGCACATCTGCGAATCTGAGGTCTCTCCAAGGTGACTAGAACCAAAATTTACCAAAATTGATTTCACCCTCTACTCTGAAAAATTATTTAGATCCATTTAAAGGTAGTCCAGAAAAGATTACGAGAAAATTTGTGTTGATCTACAATATAATTCAGACCTGGTTCCATTTGAATCATATCTGTCCCGGTCTCTATAGGACTGTAGGATATTTTGAATCAGTTATCATCGCAGATATTGTCTTAAAAAATGTCACAAAATTTTTGTCAATAAACATTTTTCAACCGCTGCACAGTGGGAGAAATGGCCAATCTGGCGGCGCCTTGTTAATAACTTCGAAAAAATAAAAAATATTAGGTGTAATACTTTTTTTTTTGTATTTGTATGTTTTGAGGGATCAATTATATTAGAAAATACATTATTTTGGACAGCCAGAAACTATTCTGTTGGTACTGGTTTGCTGTGTCAAACTAAGAAAGGGAGCGTTTTGACTCTCCCATTGTACCTAAAAAACGCAAAGTATCAAACAATTGCAAAAACCTTGCAACACTTTATCAGAAAGGGCATTTTGTACCACGACTAAGCACTAAAAGGCCACAAACATATTTTTAACACCGCGAAAATAATTAAGCATATGCTAAATTTAAACGCTCATAGCTGGGCAAATATTTGAAGTAAAATAATGCAAAAAGAAACTTCAAATCCGTTGGTTTGTTAGTTGTCAAAAAGCAAAGAAATTTGGCGGAATTCGAAAATTTAAACTTTCACTTAAACGCCGCCAATTTGACAATATCTCCCACTGTGCGCTGTCTTCATCTGAATCCCGCTCAATCAATCTCCTAATAGTTCAATCGAACAGTGACTACCTGAAGTATGTTTCATTGATTTTCTTCGATATTCGAAATGTTTTTCGCGGTACATTTTTTCGTTATCAGCTATACATACATACAAGGCCGTATTTAGGAGGGGGCAGGGGGTTGTAGGGGTTCTGAAATACTTTTAAAGAGCGAAGTACGCCGGGTATTTTATAGTTTTTGTTTTTTTTATAAAAATATAGCTAATTCTACAACAAAACCTATGTATATCAATACTTCAAACTTTTACAGAAAATTAAATGAAGTTTCATCAAAATTTCAACTTTATTTCGTATGGGCCGAAAACAGACATATAGCCGATTTGGCAGTCTATTTGCACGACTAAAGATCTATGGTGATGGAAATCCATCGATATACCGCTTTTTGGTTTTAATCGATAATGTGTTTTCATTTATTTTGCGGCACTTGTCATTTCTTAATAATGAATGGAGTAAAAAAAAACTCTTCTCACAAAATAGAAAGAAATGGAAAACGAATCTACCAATCTATAAAAATTAAAATTCAGAAAACTATTCTACCAGATTTGCTCCACGAAAACGGCAACACTGTCGCCCATACATATGTATGCACGCTTTATTGGTTGCAGTTCTTTCGCACTTAGAGAGCATTGCAAAAGCACACGCTCACCAAATGTTCGCGAGTTCACCACACTTGGCAATCAGAAACTCCTGTTGAACACAATGAATGCGGGAGCGCTATCTGATCGCACAATTGCAAGCTTTTGTAAAACTGTAAAATTTGCCACCTTTGTGGTTGCGGTTGATTGGCGCTCTTCGATTGCTGTTTGCATTGAAGTTGTTGCCAACAGCAACTTGTTGGTTGCGCTTGCGCACAATGCCTACTTTGCTTACGCTCGCTCACTAATCTCTTTTATTAGGCTTTGTTGCTGCATATTCGTACCCCAATTGGCATGCAACATACTCGTAGCATTAAGAAGCTTTTATTTGCTGTGCTAAGCTGAGCTGTTGTTGAACTTGTTTACTCTGCAACAGGCGACCTTACCTCTTACACCACCAACGCCACTTTTGTCTGCGCAAATACCTATTTAGTGGTTTGTGATCTTTGGGATTGGTGGCTGGTATAAAAAGGCCAAAACCACTTTGCGGCGGCTCAGTTCAAATACGCGCTTAACACAAATAAAGGCAATACCAAACGGGGCATTGTCAATACCGATCGAGTAGGCTATTAAAAGAAATAGTAATAGTTTATTTTTATGCGCAGCACAAGAACGGTTTAGCGGTTTAGTAGGAGACGCAACGTGCAAAAGACGTGGTGGGTGGCTTTCAAGATTTGTTGAAGCATCAGCATCAGCTAAGAGCGTTTACGCAGCGATTTGGAAGATAAAATATTATTTAATTTAAAAAAACTGAGCGAAAAAATTTGCAAAAATCACCGACAAATAAGTGCTGATATATTTCTAACGACTCAACACAAACAATTGTGCAGCGATGAATGTGGTAGGTAACAAAAGAAATATATAATAAACGTGTAGCAAGACTATGCATATGCAGCAAGATAAATGAAGATAATAAAGTCATAGAAAACGGCGTCAGTGCTGCAGTTTGTCTTAGCGAGAGCTCGACTGTTGATTATTGCAATGCATATAATTTAATTCAAACAGATATATATCTCAAGCCATAGATTTTGGTAAGGCCAAAGGTGAATTCGCATGCAATTTTCAGACAGCTGTGTGTGCAGATTATTATACAGTAAAGTGAAGTGTTTGTATTGTTGAACTATAAAACTTTGAACTTTGTACTGAATTGAAACTTTTTTGCTGTCTTAAGCAACATTGTTCAGCAGTCGGCTGGAGAATTGATAAAACGGAGTTTTTCTGAAAGTTTTTATATTTTATATAGGAAGACAATTTCTCAGTTTTCACAGAACAGCTCCTAACACAATTAAAGTTGATTAAAATGCACATATTTATACCACCAAAAGGTGTTTCTGGAAGCCATTGGGTACGAGGGATTCGAAACTGCAACTCGATTTTACCAAAAACCGCCGCTGGGTGCGCTTTTCACCAAAGCGCAAAGAGGCACAACGAAACATTGTTGAGAAACATTGTTTGCAATTTTCCTTCATTTTTCTACCCTACTTTTGCATCATCGCATTCCACAGCGGCCGTTTTTGGGTAAAAATAAATAGCAAGTTCGAATTCCACGCTCCTCAAGGGCCCAAAAATGGCCTTTTGTATATAAATTCTTATAATTGTTGTAAATCTCGTGCTGCGTCCACCAACTTTAACCTGAAAAAAAACTTAATATCACAAACCTGGGAAATCTGAGAAATTGCTTTTTTTTATATACAATCCAGACTTTCAGAAAAACTTGGCGTAATCAATTTTCTAGAAAACAAATGAAGATGTTGTACATTGAAATGATACGCTAACTCATAGGAAATGTGCAAACCGTTTTTGTTGCTGTTTTTAAGCAAGAGTATATGTAAGTGCTCCAATCATTAATGATTGCTTAAAACAAGGAAGGAGTTGCGGTACAATAGAATCGATTACGTTCAATAAGGTTTGCCCTAAAGGGGGAGAGCTTCGCTTCCTCTGAATGGCCATGGCTTTGAAACGAAAGGCTACACAGATAACATGGTGACCTGCGTAACTGTTCTGCATGACGAAACCATCTCCAATTACATGTTCTAGTTGTTGTTGTAACGCCTACTCAGCCCCGCCCAGATAGGCTTTTCCCTCAATCCTCGTCGACAAGCTCAACTAATGGGAGACGCAGAAGTACCCCTATGGGGAAAATCTTTAGTTCTGAACTGGTGCCCTTCTAATACATTTAGACCCAGTACTGGTTGGCGATAAATCTCTTTTGCATGCAAGCAACTGGCGAATTTAACATGGCGATGTCCTAGGAAATGTCAATTGCCCCCGCTGCATCCCTTTTACGATAGTTCCGAACGAGTCCTAAATTCTATAGTTCCGAACCAGTTCTAAAATTGACAGACGAAAGAAAAAGTATCACGATTTTTCAATCTTTTTGGTTCTTCCGTGTGTGCGATTTTAAGTTATTTTGGAAGAAATGTGTTTTCAATTCGAAATTAAATTTGTTTGAATGATTTAAAAAAAAAGACCTTTAAATACCTTTAGCTGCAGCTGAGTTTGCAGAGGTGATCGCTGTTATTTCTAGAATCCAGACGGTCCCAAAATGTTGAAATGTTAACACAAATTTTAGTTTTGTATTACCAAGCTATGAAAAGGCATCTGCGAAGCACAGAGTACAAGCTTATTTGAACGAAAAAGCCGCCGAACACATATCTATGTAAAGTAAACAAGCCCCCCGCTGCATCCCTCGAACTAGTTCAAAATCCGCCAGATGAGATCTAGTTCGTTCTGCATCCCTTTCTCTATAGTTTTGAACCAGTTCTAAATTCGTCACTTTAGATATAGATTTCTAGTGAAAAAAACTGAAAAAATTAGTTTTTTAAAGGTACCACCTTTCGAAGATTTTGGGTTGGTGGGGATCTAGTTCTTATCGGACTAATTCCTTTTTGGCAATAAAGACGTAGTACGGAACTAGAAATTTGATTCACTAGTCCGCGGTTTCCCTGCTGGGACGCTACTCCAACTGGGTTGGTCCATAAGGATAGGAGCGTTAGTAGAGTGGGGTTTAGGGGGCATGTGAAGAGCTGCTGCGAGTCATGCGGTAACACTCCCCATCTCGGGCACTCGTTTAGCACAGTTTGTCTAGTCCACGTCAGGTGGCTGTGTTCCCACGACGCCATTCACAGGTCGGGAGGCGATGTAAATCACGGCCGAATCACTGTGAATGCCGTTTATGGGCTGTCCGTATGCTGTCGGGTACAGAGGTTGTTTTATGCGATGCCTTCTGATATGCCTAGGCGAGGACTATTCGGCAAGCTGGTGTCTGTTCGGGTGCCATGTCCGTAGCACGCTATTAGAAATTGCTTACGGAGTGCTGTGTTTTGGCAAGTCTGGTTTTTACAATATTTTATATCCCCAAAATTCGTATGCTCAATTCCACTTGGCATTAAATGGCAAAAATTGTAAAGACAAAGTTGGGCATTAAAAAATATTCGTGTCATTACGTTAAAAAAAAAAGTTTTTAATTTAAAAAATATGTTTTAACATTGTTTTTGTGGTCGCTATTTACAGATTGATAGATTTTGGCGCAATTTGGTTTCAGAAAGGTCCAGAGTTGTGTCAAAAAAAAATGCACAGATGTTAATTTTTTTACGACTCTTGGCTTTTTTGTTCAAGCATAGGAGTAGTTTTTGAATTAAGAGATGCAGACAAAAATGTAGAGTAAATATATAAACTTAACAAAAAATTAATCACACATTTTGAATCTTCCAATATTGTTTTTAATTTTGTACTTATCAACCACTGCATCTGCCATATTGGATCCGCCATTTTAAATTTTTGACAACTGTCTCCAGTTTTGTAATCAGCGACTTAAAGAGCCATTGGATATCAAATTTTATAAAAATCGGAAAATTTTGTTAAAAATCCATCCGGTTTATTGGATCCTTGATTTTGAATTTTTTCAGTTTTACAATCAGAAACTACAAAAACTCTTGCAACGATGTTGAATAAAGTTTAAAAAATTACAGGGCAATATTCTATTCACGGATGCAAATATGAGTACTTTTTTCTCTACTTTCTGAAAATACTCGATTTTTCTGGATGCAAAATTTTTTTATATTTTTTTTTGGACGGTGGTCTGTTGCCTGAGTGCTTGGAAAAATTTGTTTCCGGTGTTTCCGGCCACCCACAATTCCATTTAGGGTCTTCAATGAAGTTGATTGGTATAAAGCAACACTTCAGAGCAATAATGAAGTTTAAGCGTCAGATAATGAAATATATTCGGCTTCGTCCACAATTATTGTGGAAAAACAGCAAATATTACATACATCTGTAATATGAAAATTTTATCAATGATTTGCTTATTAATACAAACTTTTTTTTCATATACGAGCTATGTATATACATGTATAAATATGTATGTATGTAGCTAAGTAAATATAAAGTACCTGTATTCAGAAGGAAACGTGCATCACGTTGCATCAATGTGCTTGCAATGCTCTCATGTGATAATCTACACAAGTTACGACATGTATGTATGTACATTTGTATGTGTGTGTACATCCATAAATATAAAGAAACGTGTAAACACTAGTTACTTTTATTACAACACATTTCAGCACTAAAGTAATTTTTTTTTTGTTACTACCATAAAGTTATTGCTTATTGTCTCCCATCAGCACTGAGCCCAAGCTATAATTTTCTATGCAAATTTGCAAAGTGCCAAGCTAATTCAATATGCGCTCACAGAGTTGTAAATATGTTGTGTATACATATGTACTTGTACATACATATCTACCTGTAAATGATAAACATATGTATGTACATACATATATGTATACTACATAATTAGATACTGTGCTTAACTTGGCTTACTGCCTACATACTTACATGCACATACATACATACCGTATGTATAGTACTCGACTCGTATGCACAGGAGTACCACTAAATACGAGTAATATCGCTGACCACGTACATACTCTGGACCAAAATGCATTCCAGCTTTCCTATGTACCTAGGTACCTATGTACGTTCGTAAATAGTTTAAATGCACTAACCTGTCATGGTATTTGCATATATTGCATGCTGCCAGCAGATTTTGTCTCAGCTGAGATTGAGACTAAATACATACATACATACATACCACTAAGTTGATTGCTACAGTTTTTCACCTAATTTGTAAAACCGGAATACTTGCTTTGTAACGACATTCACACATATTTAATACATTGTTAAATTCAGAAGCGAAATGGTTGCAGTTCTGCAGATTGCATGCAATTTATGTACATTAGGGAGAGTCATTAAAAATTTTCGATTTCTTTCGTGGCATTACAAAATTTGCTATAGTCGATTTTAAATGTTTATATATTGAACAATTTATGAAAATGCCAATTTATAAAGCTCTTTAAACCCACTTTATTTTTGTTTTAAGGCCACAAGACTTCCATCAAAATATTTCGAAAAACTATTAATATTTACGTGAGCTGAAACGATTTGAAAATAATTCCAATCATCTTATTATTTTTGATTCCCTTGATAAAATTTTTTAAGCATTTTTATGCAGAAATTTAAGCTCAAACTCTTCTATTAGCTGAGGGGATTTTTTAGAAAAAGTAGTCTTAGAAACTATATAAAAATCCGCTTTTCGGAGGCATTTTCAAAGAGGTCCAGCTCACGTTAATCTTAATATTTTTCTGAAATATTTTGGCGGAAGTTTTAAAAGGCTATACGTTTTTTATTTTCGATGTAAAAAAAGTATAGTTTTCTTCTTTTTTTTTGCATGGAGTGTGTTGCACCCTAGTGTGCATATGTACTTATTTATTGCTATCTACTTGGTCGTCTACTGCATTGGTATGTATGTATATGTAAACGGCTCATTGGCTCTGTTGCTTGCCAAATGTGTAGCAGACAGAAGTGGAATTGATCACAGCAGGTTTGCCGTTGAACTGAGTGAATGTGAAACTAATAAACTTTTGCAGCAATTTAGTGAGACTTACTGCATTTATAAAAGCACTCACTTCAAAATGCCAATAGTTTCTTCTCAAGTTACAAGTTAATGAATAATATGCTGTAATTGCGTTGGTAGCATCTATGTACCTACATATGAACATACATATAGTACTTATCATAACTATATGACACCCGCATATTGACAAGTTCTGACTAGGGGACTAGGCGATTTGAGTCCAATATTTTTTTTGCAATACCGTCGTCCTCTTTGTGTAAAGTGAGGCCTATTACTTCCATTTCCGCCTTCGAATCCAGATGTCAAGGGTATCTTAGCTTTTTTAAGCAAAAAATTCAGAGTGTCATTCTAAAACATCTATGTACAGAAACTTACAGGCATTTGGTTATTGCAGTAGTGACTTTCCAGATAAAAACCGGCATCATTAAGACAATGCACCAAAACACATATGTCGTCAGCATAGTCAATATGGTGCAGTGAACTGGACCGGTATCAACGAAGTCCGCCGTCGGGAAGTGGCCTCATGGCAGCATCCAACACCTCCCCAGTCTCTTAAGGTAAGCGAAGAGGTGAGAGTACGCAACCTTGTCGAAATTGAATGCCAGCCTTGCCGTCCCACACTAGTAATGGAGTCCGCCCATATAGGGATCTTCCGCCAAAAGACCTTAGACTCGAGTACCCCAGCACGCCTCGAGTGACCCTGCATGTGGGGTTCAAGAAAAAATCAGCGTCGTTGGGCCCACAGTCATAATACTTGCGTCACGTATCGCGCACCTCTTTTATCAGTAAGTTCGTCTGGTTTCTACACACTGCTTCCCCACACTCGACGGACACAACGTCGTTCACGAGAGAAAAATGTATTGTATAGCATCTGCGGAATACAATTTTTTTTCTGTATTGGATCTTATTCTTAGTATACTTCATAGTATACAAGTAGTTTGGACCTCCGAACGAGTAAAAACTAAAGACTTAAGAAACGAACTTAATTATTTTTTTTTATTTTTATTTACAATAAAAAAATCTGAATTATATTTTTTTAGGATAAAATTTTAGGCTGATATGTATGCATGTTGAGCAGTGTTGCCACAAAGATTTTTAATTTTTTACCAAAGCTCTAAAATAAAAGTAAGTGCGCCTGGGCCACACTGGAGAAGTGAAACTTACGTTACACATCTATTTTGTCTCATAACCAATATATGTACATACATACGTACATATGTGCGATAATCCCATTAAAGTTTTGTGTAAATACTTATGTACATAAGTTAGACTGACATAAATTATTCCTGGTCAAATGAATGACCTTGACCTTGATTTTCCAGTTGCTGGTTTCTAATTTAACTACGTACATATGTATGTAAGTTACAGCAGCTTTCGTGTTTCATGCAAATGTTTCAATTTTGAATGACCTTTCGAATTTGATTAGTAAATCGGGTAATATGTCCTTTCGAGTTGTATTTCTGTGTTTGTGTTCTAAGTCTATAATCGCGTTGTTAAGACCGGGCCACCAAACATAATTTAGGAACTGCATAACAAAAAGTAATTCAGAATCAAATGTGCAGCTTGGCAGCAATAGGCGGCATCCTTATCAGACTATGATGAACAAGTTATGATCCCATTTATCTAAAAAATGTAAGTTGAAACCTCAGTAACCTCAAGTCTAGCTGTAAAGCTTCTCATAAAATCCATTTGCAGTTCGGCGGCGGCATAAAATTGTAGTTCCCTCCATTTGTACTATAACATTAGGACGGATAACACAAATTGGAGGAAAAGCTCGGCCAAATGCTTATCAAAACTATAATCGCTAATATATTATTATTCTTACTCAAATTATTTTCGTTCGGTTTTTATTAACGAGGTGTCAAAATAAAGTGAAATGCTAATCTGTAATATGGTTTTACTTTTTTGAAAAGAGTTGACTCCTTTTAAAAATTGATATTGTAATTATTGCAATGTGGGCATCAATAGAAATGGTTTTGGAAGGGCTTTATTTCGTAACTAGATGTAGGAGGTTACCAAGAGGCTCAAAAAAAAAATTAAATTTGAATTGAGCAAATTAGGTATTTGAAATAAACATCACAATATAGAGGCCAGACGAAAGAAGATGAGAGGGATAGGAACGTTGTTTTTTTTTCAAAATATTATGAAAGGGGGTTGTTAACTGATTAAAATTTGAATTTAGTAAATGTATACGCAAGTTATCTGAAATCTTAAGACATGAGCGTCAAACGTAAGAGTTCTAAGAAAACTTTAGTCTGAATATATGCCTGATTAGGGTTGCCACGTTCAAAACAGTTTATTTCGATATTATCGTTTTATTATTATAGATTTTGCCTTCACTTCACAATACTTTGTAATGTAGGTAATTCTTATTTACTGAACTGCATTACCATCATAGCCAAACTGTAGATAGAGCGTGTGATCTAAAAATAAGCAATAAAATTAAAACACACACATACACGCATGCTTGTGAATAATATTTAACAAAATTAAATTATGTTTAAGAGAAGTTTTGTTGGTTTTAGGATCACCTTCAGTGCAGTGTTCACCGATAGTGGCTCAACTCCAGCGATAGTTATAATGCGTGGAACTTGAGATTTCGTGAGCATTAGCAGTACGGTCTTCTGATCGGCTACCTCCAAATCATACCATTGAATGTCGTAAATTCCGTCACAAAATTGATCATTCTTTACAAAAATTTTATTTGTTTGTGCCAAAGATAAAACATTATTTAATATTTGTATACTTACGCATATTTCAACGCGCGTACCCAATATGGAATACATATATAACCAAACGAAGCAGAGAAATATGTAAGGATAAGCACCAGGCCAATCCTTCAACATGATGATTAGCAAGGTGCTCAAGATGCCCAGAGTTGTGCAGATCATGTGGGATGTGATGGTCCAAAAGAAAATAAAATTGCAATTATCGGTGAACCTAAACATTTACCAAATTTTTTTTTAATCAATAATTCAATTCTATATACATACATATGTATGTACATGTTTAAATATATGTATGTATGTGTATGTATCTCAAGACTTACTCCAAGTAATACTGATGCCATTCTGCAATATCATTCAGCGTAGGTGTTATTCGTTTATCCTTTGAGTTGTGTTGCAGCAATTCATGCAGATCACTCACTTTCAATTCGAAGATGTCATAATAGAACATCGAGTGTGTTAGAAAGAGAAAAACATACAAGTCAAACGCATACAATCCAAATGCCGCAATGAATACACATAAAATATTGTAGACGATCGTAATAAAATAGCCCTGGTTAGTGGTCGCGTCTATATATGGCATTTGACACAGAATAATTAGGTGTCTTTCGCCTTTTAATATGTACACAATAAGTGGTGCGATTAAAGCTAGGCAAGCAGATGCAAAGTATATCAAAGCACCAATGATTAATATCTTTCTCATGCTGCCATTCCACTCTTGTAATTTTTTCTTATATTTTCTTCCAATTTTTTCGTACTTCTCGTATATTTCACCGATTTCCAAAGCCAACTGTCGATACAATTCCGAATATCTTGTTACTGAATATAGCTTTATTGCCCCTTGTGTTGCACAGCTGATTGGTGCGAATACATCCAAAAGCACTGTCCAATCTGTAGCAATATCTTTGTACACCATATTCATAGAGCACAAAAAGTTCCAAGCAATTGCTATTGCCACAAAAGCTGTTACCGCATTAAATTTATAATTCGGGTTGACAACATCTACTCCAATCAAGCGAGAACAAAAGCGAACGATGGTAAGCACTTTATTATAGTTTTCCAAAGGGCGCGCTTGAGCTTGCATTTTGGAAACTAATTTCACCAAGCTGCACTAGGAAATGA